GTCCCGGCTCACAGCTGTGACCAATGCCAAGACAGCGCCCGGCAATATGGAGTGACCCGGGCTCCCTCTGCAACCTGCTTCCAGAACCCGCACAAAAGCACGGGAACAAACAAAACCTTTGTCGGCCTTTCCAGGACTTTCCCTCCAAACATTCTAAATATTTCATTAGTTTTTTTTCCTTGTTGTTTTTCACCTGACTGGGCTTAAAAAAAGCCAGTGTGGACACTAGAAGCCTGGGTCAACAAATGATTAAAGGCAGGAGGGATGGGGTTAGTGTGGGGGGAGCTACTTGTGTTGCTGTCCAATATGAAGTACAAAGGCAAGAGGGGGAAGAAAGAAGGAATGAGGCTCTCCCACTTGGTAGTTAACACATGAAGTAGCTACAGTATTTTTGGAGGCTGTTTATTTAGCCCAGCCTGGATTTCAATGGTGTGGGTAGAAGCTGGCCCTGAGCAGGGAGCAAAAAGGGTTGGAAAGAGGCAGTTTGGGGAGAATCCAGCTCAGAGTGGAGCAGAAAACTTGCTGTGAGCCCCGAATTGCACTTTGGGTTGCGTGGTCCTTCCTGATGCTTCCCATGCTAGAATCCCAGTGTCTTTTTAGGTGAAAACAAGTGAAAAGCAGCAACGTAGGCTCTGGTGAGGAAGGACTTTCTGGAATGGAGTCAGGATATGGGTCTCCTAGCAGATTAACAGAGCTCTTGCCCATCTGCAAGAAGATGGACTCAGAAGCAGGAGCTTGAGGATGTGAAAGCGAGGGCTGCTTTCCTGTCTCTATTAAAGTGGTTTTGAAGATGCGCGCAGCTCCACGGAAGCAGTTTTCCTTAGGCTTGGCCTAAGCGAATGCATTGGCAACGGGAGCTGGAGAAGGGAAGGAAAGAAGTCAAATCCTGCCTATTTCCACCTTGGCCAAGCCAGGGCAATGATCACGAAGGCGCTTGGCTGCTCCGCGGGCTGCCGGCCGTCCCCGAGCCAACAAAAGGATCTGGTTACAAATATTAAACACTTCTTAATAACTCCGCCGTGCCACGGAGCCGAGTCCATTCGGGGCTGCTAAATGACTCTGAAAGGACTTTTTTCCCTCCCTGCTTCCCTTCTCTCACCCGGTTTTAAATAGGCCCCGAGTGGTAGGAGGCCGCTCACTAGCATCGCTCCGGCTTTGTTTCAGCCTTGATTTAGCCCCCCTTTTAAGGACCCTCCTGAATAATTCAGTGTTATCACTCAGGATGACGCGGGATTATTACAAGGGCTTCCTCCCTCCTCCTCTTTTTTTTTTTTTCCCCTCCTTTCCCCCGTAACCTTTAAATTCTTTTCACACGTGAATGGGTTCAAAGGGAAGTCGTGTAAGGGAAAACACACAACGAGGAGGTTGCTGCTCTCCCCCCTCTGCTGTCAGCTTGATAAATATAATGTGTCACCAATTAAAAACTCATTGCCATTCTCCTGCTGCAGCCAGTGCCTCGTTAGGGTCCTCCTCCCGGGGTGGCTCCCAGGATCCGCTGCTATCATTGTTGATAACAGAGGGCCTGTTTTTTTTCCCATCCTGGGCCATTTCAGCGCTGCACATTGGCATGTAAATAAGTTATTCACTCGACATCACTTTCGGATAGAAAAATGACCATGAAACTCTTTGATTTTGGGTTTGCTCTTGTCACAAGCGCACAATGAAATCAAGAGTTTCAGTTTTGTGTCTTTGGCTTGTGGAGAGTTTTTTTCTTCTTTTTTTTTTTTGGCTTTTCTCTTTTGCCAAGGCCTCTCTTTCAGCATTTGTATGGAAATTGTCCCATCGCACGACTTAATGCGGGCACGGTTTGACCTGGTAGGTGTCCCAGCTTCAATATAGCAGATTGTTGTTTATTTTTGCCCCCTCCAGGAACATTAAAAAACACAATCTGGGTTATCAATAAAAAAGTTGTTTTCTTTTTTCTTTCCTCTTTCTCCCACCAATGTCTTAGAGAGATGTGGTTGGTACCAGCACCTCTTTCCCATCCGTGATACAAGGATGGACCTGACCCGGGCAGTGCCACAGCTCTGTTTTGCTGCAGGGCTCAGTAAAAGGGAATAAATTCCAGGGAAAGTTGGTGCTTATGGAGGACAACCTCTCCCTGGAATATTAATGCCTCTCTTCACTCTTCCTGCCTCATGTTAGCTGCTTTTCCCAGGGTTTTCGTTTTCCTTCCTGGGAGCAGTTCACCACCAAACACATTTTTTTTCCACTATTTCCCTCTATCTCTACCTTTGTGAAATCTTATGTAGAGCAGCTAGGCAAGGAGGATGGCACCTGCTTTTTAAGAAGCATTAAAGACCATGCTTCAAATCCCTTGATGAAAGTTCGTTCTGAAGTTCTTTGCATCCCAAAATGTTGCTGTCACCGGTATCTAATATCTGCAAAGAAGCTTAGGGTGACCTCAAAATCTCGGCCTTTTTCTCACCAGAGAAGCTGTAGTCTGTGATTATTCATCCTAATGCCACTGCCTGCGCTTTTATTTCCTTGCTTATATTTTAGCGAAAAAAATAAATAAATAAAAAGTAATTAGTGGGAAAATTGGGACACTGGTGGAAAAAAAGGAGGCCTGAATCCTTAGCTGGTGCCTGCCCAGGTTTCAGGCACAACTTTTGGGACAAACTTTTGGGAATTTGGTCAGAGTGGGCACCCACTATCCTCGCTCTGTGCGAGAGCTTCAGTGCTTTAATCCTGCATTTGCAGTACCCAGGGTCGGAATATTTGCAGGCAAGGACAACCTAAACGAAGCTTTGGGACCTCCTTTCCTTTATTTTTTGGTTTCCTTCTGTCTTCTATTTTTTCTTTCTCTTTTTTGTGAGAGACGTG